GGAAACTACAATTGCTATAATTATTGCAGAAGGTGGAATATCAAAAAAGTATAACACAGTTTAGTTACACAGACTATTTGGAGACATAGAGTGTGATAAATGAATGCTATAATATGGAAACAATAGGAGGCCAATAAGGAGGAATCAAGAGCCTCAGAGAGGGGCTTCCCTGGTGGCACACTGGTTGAGAGTCCGCCTGCCGATGCAGGGGACGTGGGTTCGTGCCCCGGTCTGGGAAGATCCCACGTGCCGCAGAGCGGCTGGGCCCGTGAGCCATGGCCGCTGAGCCTGCGCGTCCGGAGCCTGTGCTCCGCAACGGGAGAGGCCACAACAGTGAGAGGCCCGCGTACCGCAAAAAAAAAAAAAAGGCTCAGAGAGAGTTTCCTAGAAGAAGCAAAATGGAATATTTCCATTGTGCAATGAGGTTCTCCCTTCCTCTTTCTCCTATTGTACTTTCATAGCTCTCATTTTATCTTCACATTGGTATGGGAGAAGAATCATATATCTTAATTAAAAGATAGAAAAACAGACTGAAAGAAGTAAAGTGACTTGCCTGTAGATTTCAGAGGGGTTTTTAATTGACCTATCATGATATTAATTACACACCATAATTTTAAGAAATAGACGTTTTTGCCAAAAGCTAAGTCATGGGGTACTTAGGCTCCTTAATAACATACCTATTCTTAAGATAATGATTTTATAATATGTAACTGAATTTTCTATAAGGTTGTGCTCCAAATTTGATACACATTTACCATCAATACATTTTCTGAGGAGAAATACAGAAAAATCATACCACTTAGGAATGTCACTATTTTTGTTTCTAATCGCCAGAAATGCAAACCTAAGGCAGATACGTCATTTGAGACATTTGTGAAACAATGATGGTTAAACATTAAAAACATTAAAAAAAAGAAGTCCTACCAAGGCTGCAAAAAAACAACCCTTCAAAATAATCTCATCACGTTTAAATACTGTCATTTAAATTTACTAGCTAAAAACATGAAATTAATGTGAGATGCAGTGTGAAGAATGAATGATGAACTACTAGTGGAGGTTAGCTTTTTAAATAAAGATAAAATAAAATGGCCCTCAGAATTCTATGAGAGAAATCAGAAGTGATGAAGCTAATCATGTTTCAGATGAAGTGATAAAATTTTAGTTCCAAACAAAGAGTAAATAGGAAGTTTCAGCTTGGTAGCATGCTCCCATCACTGCACTAAGTGGGGAGATATTGAGCTGGAGAGTAGCTTTGGATCTAAGAATATTCCGATGGTGTTGGAAAGACTGGAAAAGGGAGATGCTAGAGGCAGGAGGGCAAGCCAGAGGCTGCTTCAGCCATCAAGTTTGGGATGTAGGTGGCAGCAGGGGTGCAGAGGGAATGACATGGAAGCTGTTGGGTGGGGGAAATTGACAAGGTTTAGGGTCTGCCTGGATGTGGGAGGCTCAGGAGGGGAAGGAGTTCAAGTGACAGCATAAGACTTTCCAGATGGTTTTCAGAGCAGCTGAAAGGAACAACTTGACATAAATGTCCTACTTTTAGACCAACCATGAAATAGGTCCTAACCTCCAGCAAAGCCTTCAGAAGCCACTACCCTGTCCTTCTGAAAGAACTCTCTTCTACCTTAGGCTCTTGAGAAAAGAGCCCTAGTTTAGCATTAATGGTAACTTTAACTTGGAGAACATGTAGTTTTATCACAAGAATTCTTCAGTGGAAAAGTATAATCTTTTTAATAGCATTTGTATCCTGTTCTTTCTTCCCTAGCTTTTTATGAAGGGAATGACTTGGGCTTCTGTTTTCCTATCCGAAAACTTGGGATAACAGCCCCTGCTTCAAAGAGCCACTCTCCGGCTTCTGTGAGATAATGATGCATGTGCCACGCACACACAGTTTGTAAGGAGGGTTATTAAGGTTTCTCTACCAATCAGATATGTTCTATGTGATGCTGGTGGGTAACAAGGAGGACAGTAGTGGAAGTTACTGGGGGACAGATTTTGCCCCAGGGTAAAGACAAACCTTCTGGGATCCACAAATTGCAGAAGTAGAGAATAGCCACCTAGAGAGACAGCAAGCTGCAGGCAGTGAGGGTGTTCTACCCAAACGATATGGTAGAAAAGAGACTTTCCATCAAGCTGTGGCCCACGTGATAGATGGCGGCCTCATTCATCTTCATGGGTTTACCAAACCAAGTTTATATTGAGTTATCTGTCACTTCTTCCCTTCTAGGAAAGAGAGCACAGCATAATTCCAGGGAGTGAGAATGTTGATAATTCAGCAGTAATTGTAATGGGTTAACGTTTGTTAACTGTCTATCATTGGCTGGGCACATAGGTGCTTTATATATGTTCTTACATTCGATCTGTGGGAAAAGGCTGTGAAACTAGGTTTATGGCTAATTTGAAATAGGCTCCTGCCTATGACTTCTCAGCTGGCAAATGATGAAGCCAGGATGGAAACACATGTTTGCTTGCCTCCCAGTGGTGTTTCCTGAGAAGGAGAGGAAGGGGAGGAGGGAGGGCAAGGTATGGGGAGGAGGAGAGCATTCACAAATATTAGCAGAGCACCTGAATATTATCATCCGTAAATCATTTGGACACACACCACAAATGAAAAGCACAATGTAGAGAAGTAATTTTCACACTCTCACGCTTTTCCACAGAAGTGCTCCATCTGCTTCAAACAGTGCCCATATGCCCCCAGTGGCCTGGGAGGTAGCCTGAAGAAACATCTTAATTTTATTCCGTAACACGGCCATGACTGTTTAATATAAAATGTACCTCCATATTTTAGAGAAAATTAATGTACAGTAGAATGCATGTCATCTTTATCTTGTACCTTCATGTTTCCCCTGGGAACATCACTCTTCCCCCTGCCACAATATTCCAGCTTTAGAAGCATTATCTGAAAATGTGTACATTCATTAGTCTAGAGGTGGTTAAAATATCCAGTAAACTTTTTTAAAGGCCCATAATTATATCAACAAATCAGCATTTCAGAGGTTTACAAGGCACCAGTTATTCATACATTCATACATACAGTATCTCAAGATTTTTATGCATTTCATCCACTTAGTTTTCATTGACAGAGCCCTGCTGGAATCCCCAGGGACTTCTGGTCTACCCTCAATATTCCTGTCTGCTCCAGCACTGCTGAAACAAACTCTTCTTTGGGTAATAAGCCCAACATTCTCAGGAAGGCTGTGTTCCTCACCAGCCTCCTTCAGTGCTCATAAACTCCAGCTCATCATTGTGTTGAGAGTCAGGAGACGTTGTCTGACTGTTGTCGCTGCACCTGCTATCTTATTGGACTTATCCAGACAGCCCTAGCCCTCAGAGCAGCTGAAACAACAGATGGGCAGGAGAACTTGAGATGTTTTTGACACTGTCCTTTTGTTTATGGAATCCCCCCTCACCCCAACTCTGGAATCTGATAGGAATTCTCTTCATGACCATTTTATGTTTTTTCCCATGACACATTTTTATTATTAAAATGTAAATAATTGGTGCAGAGGGAGATGAAAGAGAATAACATTTCCTTCTGAAAATGGTCAAAAAGGAAATGAGGATGGTGATTTGGTCATGTGGATAAATACACCTTTGCCTTGGAAGATAATTGGCAGTAGCCAGATTCCTTTGATGGCAGGGGAATTCAAGCAGGGAGATGAGAGGGGATAAGAAGGGGAGGGAGGTAATCTGGTATAAGGTTGAGTGTGAGGAAGGTAGAACAGGCATTGCTCTAGGAGGTCTTGAGAGCGAAGGAGAGACGCAATCTAGGCAAATTGGAAAGCTAGCAAGAACCAGTGCCTGGAATTGCGGTTCCAGGACAAGATGCCCCTTTGTAAGGAGCGAGATTGTTAAAACAAACCTGAACTAGGGATTAGGGAGGCAGACTGCAGGATATAATTTAATGTCATATGGTTGTAAGCATTTTGCTTGATCTCTCTGTGCCTCAGATCCATCATCTGTAAAATAAACATGAAACGACTAGTACACATGTAGTATTGTTTTGGTTCTCAAATGAGAAAACACATGGAAAGTGCTTGGCCCCGGTCCTGACATTCAATTAATAGATGCTGCTATTATTATTAATTTAGTCAAGAGTGAGAGGCACAGGGAGGAGCAAGTGGAAGGGAGATGGAGAATCACTGGATGTGAAACGTAAGGAAAGGGCTTGCTTGCTTGTAATGGGGTTTCTGCTCAGATCTTAAAAAGAGGGCAATAGATCAGACAGCGCCCACAGAATCTCACATGGTGCTTTCCCACCTCTGTGCCTTTGCTTCTCCCATTTATTTTTTCCTGGATGACGTTCTCCCAAACACCTTCATTATGGGGCACATACCATACAATTCTTATCCACCAGGGTTATTGTAAGGGTTAAATTAAAGATAAAAAGTACCTAGTAATATTCATGGTACTGTGTCATTTTAGTGACATTTAGATGCTACATTTTAGTGTAGTCCATCATGTATGGGAGAGTGCCTTCATCACCGTAGACATTAAAAATTATTGGATAACTAACTTATATGTGGAATCTAAAATATGACATAAATGAACATATCTATGAAACAGGAACAGACTCACAGACATAGAGAACAGCTTTGTGGTTGCCGAGGGGGGTGGGGGAGGGAAGGGTTAGGAGTTTGGGATTAGCAGATGCAAACTAGTATACATAGGTTGGATAAACAACAATGTCCTACTGTATAGCACAGGGAACTCTATTCAATCTCCTGTGATAAACCAAAATGGAAAAGAATATGAAAAGGAATATATATATGTATAACTGAGTCACTTTGCTGTCCAGCAGAAATTAACACAACATTGTAAATCAACTCTACCTCAGTAAAATTAAAAAAAAACAAACAAATAAAATTATTGGATAATTAAATGTGCATGTGATATCAAAAACAAGCACGACTGGTAGACATGTACTCGAGGGGATCCATTTTGTTTGTCCCCGGCCTCGCATCTGTATAGTTAATAGTCTTCTTTATGTTTTCCAGGGATCTACATCTTGGCAGTGTGTACCAGTACTGGGTCATCACTATCTCAGGAAACGAAGAGAGTGAGCCGTCACCTGCTGCCACTTACATCCACGGAAGTGGGTACTGCGGTGATGGCATCATCCAGAAGTAAGTAGGCCTAACTAACGAGGGGAGTGGGAGCGATGTTAAGTAGGCCAAGACATGGTCAGGGTGCCAAATAGAAGAGCTTATGGGATACTCTTCAGGGTTGAGCTGTGGGTTACGAGGGATCCTCAGAAGTCTGCCAATTTGTCTGCAAGCAGCTCGCTGGCCTCAGAGGAAAGCAATGATTCTTTTTTGAACAAACACGTTTCTCAAGCATGTAATACAATATAAGATTTCCATAGAGCTACCATTATGCACTTACTACCAGTATGCCCTTGTTCTATGTGTCCTACAGGATTCTATTAGTTTTTTCCACCCCAGGCCACATTCACTTAACAGGACACAGTGCACCTAGGTTCAAACACTTTTATATTCTTTGCTAGTTACCATTTACATTTCTTAAAACTGCATGTTTATTTATTATTTCTGTTGTATTGTGTTATATCAACAGTTTACAAACTGGGTCAGAGCCTTATAAAAACAGCAAAATATTTCAACTCTCTATAATGTTGAAACCGTGATGGTAAGCAGTACTCCAGAGTGAATATTGAACGTGATTATAAGTTCAGGGAGGCAAGTGTAAAGATTCCACACGAGCAGCCAAAAAAGGAAAAGTGTGATCAGAAGATATAAAGCTGTGTGTCTAAAAAATGGATTTTATTGGATCATCAGTCCATCCATCCCCTGTCCACAGGGCAAGACGTTATGCAACTGAGAAATAGTTGCAAGAAGCCATCAAGACTTCCGCATTGTTGGAAAAAAAAAAAGTAAATCTTTGAGGGTTTTTTCCTCCAGAATAAGCACAGAAGTATTTTCGGTCACTAAATTGAATGGTTTTCTTCCTAGAGATGAAAAAGAGACCAAGAATCATGCACAATTAGGTTCCTTATTGCTAAAATTGTGTTCTTTATTGTGAATATAGTTACTAGTCACACTATGGCTAAGGGACTTTTAAAACTATTGGCAGATTTAATGATAAATGTTACGTATGGAGATGACACAACAAGCTATTGGCAAAATTCCTTCATTAAATGGCACTGTTGGGTGTCACGTAATATCTGTGCAACATGGAATTGCAATGACTATTTCTGTGGGGGAGGGACACTCTAAAGAGAACTTGTTTCACAGTTGGATGAAACCACTGATGTACAGAACATGGATCGGCTCATAGGTATAGTTCACATATGAAAGAGAAGGGCTCGATGACTATTTCTTTTAGTTTATCATTGACACTAGTGCTTGAGGTCAAGAGCAATTTAATTTGGTACTGATGACTTTGTGGTGTGTCACATGCACTGGAAACCTGCTATGGAATGAAAGGACCAGATAGGAACACAGCAAGGATGACACAGTGACGCAAGGAAAGAGTTTGTACAAGAATACCCATCTGCACAGACATCTGTTATTGGCCAGCAGTTTGCTTTCTGGTCATGACTCAGCATTGAAGGGAAAAGTAGATGTCGAGAATATGATCAGATGCGGGCCGGTGAGTTACAACTGCCCAACTTACTGTGCAAAAAGATAACAGTATGTGTAAGATTCTGCACCCCCATACACACTGAAGTGTGCCAGCTGTTACGAGAAAGGTACTAAGTCAAGTTTCTGAAATAACGAATGACTTTTTTTTAATGTTGACCTTGATAAAGGCCAGTAATGATTATTTGCACAATTTCAAGTGGCTTGCTGAAGTGATGTATCTCAGGGATATATATTCATGTCTTAAATGTCCTGCGTGTACAATTTCAAAGCTGAATTATCTCAATTTCCATACGGAGGAGATAATATAAGGATTTTTAAGGGTTGAATTGTGATGCAAACCACCTGATTGCCAAGAATTTGACTCCTCAAGCATAGAAGATAAAACTCCTCGCTTGTCAGAGAATGAAATTGATGGCGTGCTGTCATGTGTAAGATCCTCCTCCAAATGCAACAACCAAACATGAAGATATGGTTTCTGGGGCTTAATGTAACAAAAGTGGGCAAAGGGAAGATAGTCACTGTTTTCTCCTACATTAAGACATCGACTTCTAGCTTTTTTTTTTTTGTGGTATGCGGGCCTCTCACTGCTGTGGCCTCTCCCGTTGAGGAGCACAGGCTCTGGATGCGCAGGCTCAGCGGCCGTGGCTCACGGGCCCAGCCGCTCCGCGGCACGTGGGATCCTCCCGGACCGGGGCACGAACCCGTGTCCCCTGCATCGGCAGGCGAACTCTCAACAACTACGCCACCAGGGAAGCCCTGACTTCTAGCTTTTGATGCAGCTGTTGTCTGATGGAACCCTGAGCACCTGAGCAAGACAGTCTCCAGGGAAGGTGCCCTATCATCTGTGGGTACAAGACTGAGCTACGTATCCAGAATATCCAGGAAACAGTCACGGTCATTGCTGGCAACCCATAATTGTGATCTGGGATTTTCTAATTTAGCACGAGGAATAAAAAAAGAAACTCACTAGATGTAGGAACTGATCTATGGCTCAGTCTATCCATTTTGGAATCAGATATAAGTGCACTGGTAAAACACTGCAAACAATATCATTCTTCTCGCTGATCTAAAACTAGTAGTAGTAGTAGTAGTAGTAGTAGTAATTTAAATAGTTTTCTTAACAAAGATTTTTAGTATTTTTTTACCTAGAATTACTATCCTGCATAGACATCAAATACATGTTGAATTACCTGCAGGTACCAAATCGTTGTTGACATACTTGGTAGAAAACTGAATGCAGCTTATGGATGATTCCCTAAGCAAAAACAAAACAAAACAAAATAAACTTTGAAGGAAAGAAAGGATGCCGTCTTCACTAATTGGATTTTTCATGGGATGATACACGCTAATTTACTGTACATATGCAAAGGAATTTACAACACTCAGGGCCCTGATGAATGAAAGCACTGGATGAGTCTTATAATGATAATTATAAATATTTATTGAGACTCTACTAGGCAGGAGGCACTGTGCGACATTATGATCTCCTTGGGTCCTTCCAACAACCCCGTGAGATAGGTCTTATTACCATACTTTACGAAAGAGACAACTTGCACACAAAGACTAAAATTGTTTTCTGAAGCTTACACACCCAGTAAGGAGCAAAACCAAGATGTGAGCCCAGGGCCCAGGTTCACATCTGGATTTACCATTGCCTTGCTGTGACTGACAGCCCTGCAAAACTGACGAGTCAAGGAGTAACCACGTGCTATCGGCTCTGTCCCAGACACTGTGCCAGGAGTCAGGGTGCTAGGATGACAAAGCCTCTGTCACGTCCTTTGGCATCTTAAAGCCTAGGATAGAGTGCTCTCAAGTAACAGGCAAAGGCAGTCAGTTTGACAAGTGCTCTGATAGATGGAGCCCCTTGTCTTTGGACTCAGAGAAGATGGCCACCCACTCCAGCCTGGGAGGTCAAAGAAGGTTTCTCAGAACCTGTCTGTCTAATGATAGATCTGTCATGCCTAGAAGATATTTGTGGCGACCCTAATGTTTTGCTTAAACCAATAGAACATATTGTTTGGGTGGTGAGGGAATGGGTTAGAAGTGTTCTTTGTGGCTTAGGGAAACCAGCCCAGGTTAAAAAAAAAAAAAAAAAAAAATCTCTCCCCAGATAACCCACGAAATAGCTAAGAAGCACAAGGCCACCACCAATTTCCAGTGCAAGATTTGCTGGCAGAGACTGGAATATGGGCCCAGCTTGGAATATATCAGCAGAATTCTTTTCTCATGGGTTTGCAGACAGGAGAGAAATTGGGTGGCTCTTCAGAGATCAATGCAATGTCCTAGTCATTGTAAGGATTGATTACAAGGCACCATCCTGCTACTCTGACACCTCCTAAAAGCAACAAACATTTCCCAGTGTAATTGCCCGGGTGAAAGGCAAAGTCTGAGGCTTCTTCCATGCTGGGACAGGTCCCAGCTGGTCTCTGGGGATGAAGGGGCAACTGCCACACACTCTGCGGAGACCTCCCAGGACAGGTGGGTGGGCATGGGAACTGTGACTCTCTGAGCATCTACTGTATGTCGCACGCCAGGCCAGCCGCATTAAGTTACATTCCATTTTTGCACCAACACTAAGGAGTAGGTGTAATGATCTCCATTTTAGCCCATGAGAAGACTGAGATTCAACGCCCCGAACAGCACTGTCCAATGGATTTTTCTGCAATACTGGAAATAGGTTCTGTGCTGTCCAATATATTTGCCACTCCTACATCCAGCTATGGAGGACTTGAAATGTGGTTACTGTGACTAAGGAATGGAAAGTTTAATTATTTTTTATTTTAATTGATGTAAATTGTCAAAGATAGAAATATCAGAGAGAGAGAGAGAGATGAAGGGACTTGTCTGAGATCACACAGTTTGGAACATGGGGCTCTAAACCCAAGTTTCTGTTACTAAAAGGATGGGAGGGACTTCCCTGGTGGCTCAGTGGTTAAGAGTCCGCCTGCCAATGCAGGGAACATGGGTTCGAGCCCTGGTCCGGGAAGATCCCACATGCCGCAGAGCAACTAAGCCCGTGTGCCACAACTACTGAGCCTGCGCTCTAGAGCCCGCGAGCCACATCTACTGAAGCCCGCGCGCCTAGAGCCCGTGCTCTGCAACAAGAGAAGCCCATGCACTGCAACGAAGAGTAGCCCCTGCTCACCGCAACTAGAGAAAGCCCACATGCAGCAACAAAGACCCAACGCAGACAAAATGCAGATAAATAAATAAATAAATGGATGGGAGTTTTCAAGAAAGTGGTAACCCATCCAAACTTTCAGTTGTTACTCCTCCTTCCCTTTCCCTAGGCCCAATTCAGAGAACATTGCTCATTTTCTGCCCATCCTAACCACTGCAGAATCATCCTTAGGTGATGGAAATAATTCCTCAAAATAAAACGAGAGGACATTTTTATTTCTTAACAGCATAGGACACAGGCCTTACCGTTCTTAACACTATGAAATGACACACCCAATGGAGAAGGCAGTGTTTTCTGATCTAAGGAAGATCAAACCTGAACACATGGATGGAGAAAATCTTTACCTTTAAGTGCACTGGGGGTATGGGGATAGGGCTAAGGCAGGGCATCGTGAAGAACAGCAGTTATACCTTAGAGACTCCAAAATTCTCTTCAAATTCTCAATTTTAAAGTGGAAGTGATGGGTCTTCCCTGGTAGCGCAGTGGTTAAGAATCCATCTGCCAATGCAGAGGACTCGGGTTTGAGCCCCGGTCCAGGAAGATCCCACGTGCCGCGGAGCAGCTAAGCCCATGCACCACAACTACCGAGCCCGTGTACCATAACTACTGAAGCCCGCGCGCCTAGAGCCCATGCTCTGCAACAAGAGAAGCCACCACAATGAGAAGCCCACGCACCACAACGGAGAGTAGCCCCTGCTCAGTGCAACTAGAGGAAGCCCACATGCAGCAAAAAAGACCCAACCCAGCTAAAAATAAATAAATAAAAATTTTAAAATAAGTAAGTTTAAAAAATAAAATGGAAGTGAGATTTCCCAGACACGCTGGAGCAAAGTCTGTGCATCCATTTGTTCATTCATCCTCCTGTTACTCCCACCTGACTTGCTAACTTAACTAAGGAGATCTCAGCAAATGGGTTTGAAGCAGGAATTCTACTTTGTCATCAGAAACACAGTAAGGCAAACACAACAGAATCTCACAAATTCACCTTGTACGCATCTCATTTGGAAGAAACAGAAAACTCAGACAGGGAAAGGGACTTGCCCGAGGCCTCACCAGAAAGTTCCTGGCCCCGGAGAGGGACTTTTCCATGTCCAGCTGTGGGTCTGAAGCTGATCTGACAAATTTCCCCCTCTATATCCATTCTGCAGAAGCCAAGGTGAAGAATGTGATGACATGAATAAGATCAATGGGGATGGCTGCTCCCTTTTCTGCCGACAGGAAGTTTCCTTCAACTGCATCGGTAAGTCCTTGTCCTTTCTCTGGGCCTGGCTGGAGAAGTGGACAGCACAGAATGGCTAGTCAGTTACAGTAACAGCAATAGTTATAACTAAATGATAATTCACTCCTTTATATTACACATATTTATTGAGTACCTCCTAGGGGGCCAGGCACTGTTGTAGGTACTAGTGAATACAGCAATGGAAACAAACAAATGGCAGGTATCCCTGCCCTCATGGAGCTTATGATCTCATAGATGATGGTGATGATGGGCAACCCTTTTGATCAAGCTTTACCTTACATACATTATTCCTTTTCTTCATGCCAACTTCCAGGTTAATTATTAGCATAGATTTTTAAGGCTTTTATTCTTACTTTAGAGATGAGAAAAATCAAAAGCCAGAGAGATTTTAAAATATGTCCAGAGTCACACAGGTTAGGATTGAAGACAGAACCAGGACTCGAACCTGATTTTGTCCGATTCTCACACACAAGCTCAGTTCATTTTGCTATACAGCCTCTAGCCAGGATCTAGTCTCTCTGACTTGAGGAAAGAGAAATAACAGACCAGCAGACCAGCAGACCAGCCTGTGTTTAGAAAGCAAATGTCCTTTTCCCACCTTTATGGAGTCAGATGGGAAATTTGTTTTCCTCTGCCTTCTCCAGGAGTCTGGCTGATCTTGTTGTTTTAGCCCCACTTGGGAGGCCCTGGTCAGCCCGGGGCTGGTAAACAGACGGGGGCTGGGGGGCAGGGATGGAATTTCGAGCTGGCCCAGATGAGATCATGCTTCCTTTAAGATGCAAATCGATACCTGAAGATCAAAGGTCCCCTGGCTAATCCCCTGGGCTGGAGGTGAAAACTAATCACAATTCATTTGCAAGTACAAAAGAGAGAGGTGTTCCATCTAAGGAAGGGATGAAAACGTCAGTGGGAAGATTTCTCAGCGAAAGGCAATTTTCTAGGAGGACTAAAGGGGAGGAAATGTCATCGGTTCCTCGCGTTTGCAGCACATTGCAGGCGAGCTTTTAGACCTTTCTTCCCCTGGTATATTGTGAGCTCTGTGAGGTTTTTACCATGTATCATTTACCTTGTATTCCATTCTCAGACACATTTATTGAGCACCTACTATCTCCTTGGCACCACGTGTGGGCTGAGCAACACAATAGAGGTGTCCCGAAACTGTTCGTGGATGGAAAGAAAGGAAGATATGGAGGGAGGAAGAGCAGGACTGTTTCTGGTCAGGGCCTTGGGTTTTTAAAGGGCAGAAGATTTTTTTTTCTCTCTTCTCTGTTGATTTGAGTATGAGTCATAATAAAACCTTGATATGAGCCTAGTGGTAGGGTGGAAAGAGCCTTGGACTAAATTTAAGAAAACCAGGATCTCTGGTCCCAGCTGTGCTGAGAACTTGCTGCTTGAAGCTGGCCAAGTCACTTCCCTAGACTGGACCTCAGTTTACCGCCCATAAATTGAAAGGATTGGGTTAGGTGGTCTCTAAGAGCCTTATCTGCACTTCTGTTGTATGGTTTCCAAAGCGTGTGACGATTTCTGATAATCGTGAGTTCTGCTTGAACCACCTTTGCCATCATCCTCATGGCGCCCAACATCACTGTCAGATCTTGCTGGAGAGTGTCCACCTATTTTACTGCCACTAAGATGGCATGTGACTTCAGCGCTTATGGGAAGAAGGTACGATGTGGTTAAGTTAGGATATGGTACTGTCCATGGAACGGATCTGCCAATTACAATCCTTGGGCCAGAACTGGCCTACTACCTATATTTGTAAATAAAATTTTCTAGAACACAGCACACCCATCTCTTATTATCTATGGCTGCTTTTTTGCTATGACCCTAGAATTGAGTGGTTGCAACAGAGACCCTGTGGGCCAAAGAGCCTTAAATATTTACTATCTGGCCCTTTACAGACAACATTTGTTGGTCCACGGATTTGGGGGTCATTGATACTATTGGTTGCTGAAGTCTAGTGCAAAGAGGAGGTGAAAGTTATGACATGGTTCACCATTTCTTAGAAAAATAACTGAATTTTGTACATACAGTGGGAAGGCTTAGGAGACTGTGAGGCCAGTCCTATCTCGCTTTAGCTCTTTGGGTATTCCTTCCCCACCTACGCTTTGGCCAGAATGACTGGAATAGATCATGATTTTCAAGCTGTGTTAACTGAAAGGCTTAAGAGGAGAGGAGTGAAGATGAGGGAGTTACCAAGAGGATGAGACTTGGAGCCTCGTAGATCCACTTCATATACTGTTATTCTGTAGTACATCCTAGGTGTTCTGCTGCTGTTGTTGATATGTACTGAACACCTATTGTATGCCGAGCACATTTATAACTCTCATTCTCCTAATGACCCTCGTAGTGCCTGCTTCTCAAAAGAGGAGGCTGAGGCATGGGGAAGTGAACTAAGGATATGCAGTGAAGTGGTAGAGCTGGGACTTCCACCCAGAGAGTCTGACTCCAGAGCTAACTGTGCTGAGCTTCCTGCAAGATATTTTTTACAGGACAGCTCTTGGTCTTGTAGGGCTTTGGCGGTGAGCAAGGAACATACTACTGTGGAGCAATTCGTGTAATGGAATACAGAACTGTCGGTGGTGTGGATGGTGTCCAGGGAAGGCTGTCTGTTCCCCCTGTGTATTGAGTTTAGTTGTGTTAGAGGAAGGACCTCAGCTATGCACCCCCCAGCTCACCATTTAGAATTCCATGATAGAGACACAGAGATTCCGGACATTCCAGGAAGAAAGGAGTCTGTCCAGAGATCCCATTGCCTAGGAACTATATTCCAAGGACGAACTCCATGGCTTTGAGTCTAGAAAGGCATCTTCCTCAAAGAAGAAGAGTTGAAAAATAGACAGTGGATCTGTGGCTCCCAGAAGATCCAGGTTTAATGAGTCAGAGAAATGAGACTGGAGTGTGGGAGGCTTGGCTGGGGTGCATGTTGTTCTCATCACTGCATGTGTCAAGATGGTGATCAAGATGGTAGCCAAGAGAACAGGCTTGAATGAGACTGACTTGGGTTGATATACGGCTTAGACATGGGACCTTCGCTCAGCCTCAGTGTTCTCATCCAGAAAATGGTAACAGTCCTGGGACTTAATTGGAAGATATTTACCAACATTTGTGGACACTTATTATCTGAATCCCTTTCCTAGATTTAGGAAAGAACTCTCCTTGTTGTAATACTAGTGAGGCAGAGCCCCACGACAGAAGTTGGTCATGCAAACATCCCCTCCTCCCAGTCTCCCTTGTAGCTGAATGTGGGCATGTGACCTACGCTTTCCCCCTGACCCCCAATCATACACACCAACCCAAGACTGAATCAGAAGACATAGGGACCCTGCAGACATCATTTTGATGAAGATGGCGGGAGTGGCCACAACCCATGTGTTTCCAAAGTACCAATGACAGCATCTAGCATGAGTGCTGAAATGACTTCGTGTGGCCACAGCTCTGAGATGTCTTCGCCAGAGCAGTCCTGGGGGCTAATCCTGAGCTTGGAATCAGGCTTCAAAACACTCTCCAACCCTCCTAGGGAGACTTCCATAAGTATCCAGTATGCTGTGAATAGACTTTGCTTGTTTGCTTGTTTTGCTTAAGTTAGGCAAAGTTGGTTTCTGTTGATCGTCACTTAGAATCCCTACTGAAGATTGTTGTCATAAGATGCTACGAGGTTTAGCCCCATTCCTAGCAAGTTGCACACTAACCATTACCTCCGTGTGTGTTGAGGTGGGGGGTGAGTGTCAGCCACACCACCGTGTATGGATACCCACCAGGTGGCATGCCTTATGCCATGCACCTTTGTTTAACGTGAGCCTATGTGAGGTCTCTTATGTCCAGATGAGGGATCTGAGACCCACTAGGATGCCTGAATTGCCCAAGGTCACACGGTTCCTAGAGCTGTGATCCCATCTCCAGACGGAGAGCCTCAGCATTTTCTGCTCTGCAGCTCTGCCTTCCCGGCTGCCTCCCCAGCTGAATGATTCCCTTCCATCCTTCCTTCCATGTTTTCTTCGTCCCTTCCTTCGCTTCTTTTTTATTTTTTTGTCACCGACCATTTAGTCGGGCGAATGTTTTCCCTGGCTTTGGTAACACCAGTGTGAGGGTGGGTGACAGATTTATGGTGGCATTCTCATTCACTTCGCAGGAGCCCACACATCCGGAAGTATTCCCAAGGTGCCAATGTGTTATTATGCAACACCCTGGGGCTTCCCTTTCCCACTTTCCCACCCCCAGAGCCCTCATCCCCAACACGTAATAAGTTGCTTGTTAAAAGGAACACCACCCACAAGACCTCTTAGGCAATGAGGCTACGTCCCCGGCAATGTGGAACTTATCTTGTCCTTTTCCCCCCTTTTTAAAATATAACATACACCAGGCCTGAAGTTTCAGTTAAAAAATGTGGTATCAGTGAAACGATAACTCCCCACACCCCATCCCAACAGGCTCTGGCTGGAGGCATTGTTCGCAGTGTTGGGAATTCTGTTTCTAAAGCACTGAGTCATAAACTACAGACAGGCTGCTGATAAAAGCTCAAGGAGGGAAGGTAATGGTCAAATTAGTCAGACAAAATGTGAAGCATCCCCAAAAGGGGTTATACTCAGTAATATATCTTGAGCGGGTGCTGGAAATGCGCTGCCTTCGGAGATGGCGTTTAATCCATTACAGGAGATGCGATTGCGGGGGCCTTCTCATGCTGTGTTGACTTAGCACCCTGTGTCTTTCAGGAGAGCTGGGTCCAGGTCTTAGCTCAGACTTGAGAGGCTGGGTTGCAGCTTTGCGTCTCACCTCGGAGCCTCAGTTTCTCCCTTTGTGAAATGAGAGTGATCGTGCTGAGGGCCCTAAGACTTCTTTCCGTCTGACAGCGAGGAATCCTCCATCTGTCAGGCATCCATTTAAGGGCTTTGGGGTTTCAAATCCTGCTTGATGCTGATATATCGTTAAGAAAACAAAGCAAACGGACCCCCACGTTGTCTTTCCCAGACACACACACATACTCCCTGCCTGTCTCTTTT